CCTCGTATGACTAAAGATGGAAGCACTACATTCCAAAAATATATGTTCATTGATAAAGAGGTAAATTTACTCCTATAAGAAGTACATAACAAAAATGTTCTAGAAAATAGAAGTAAAAACTCATTCATTTTCTTTTATTCTCTGTTACTACAAAATACAGAAAAGTACAATCCAAGCAGTCTCATACACAAGAGATATACAGGCTTTAGATGAAGCACTTCTCTTGCACTCTACATATTACATTGCCAATGCAAAAGTGGAGCTCATAACAACAGAAAATTTCAGATATTGCACTTCACCTTTCCAACTAACCTTGACCAAAGGTACATTCATCAAAGAAGTAGATCAAGAAAACTAGTATCCAGTTGATTAGTGCTACAATTTCACACCATTCAGAGACTTCTATAAGCACATCGATACAAATACAAATCCAATAAGTACTACTTCACTTTAATGATTTTCATTACATTGTTAATACAATGATTCTTACATATCAATACTAATAGTTAATGCTCTTCTCTCAGCTCTGCTATGCACTGTCATTGGAGCTCTTCCCCGACGCTTCATTGCACGACAAAGAGGCGATTGTCCTTTTTTGAAGAATTCATCATCCTGAATCAAAAGTAAGTATAAAAACAATGCAAATTAACAAAGTACAATACAACACGATATTCATGTTAACCATTGACAATTGATATAGGCAAAAGCCAATGATACTTACAATGTGGCAAGAATTCATTGATATTGAAGCACAGTACCTTCTGAGGATCTTAAATCAATCCCCAACATTGATTATAACAAGAGCCAAAGTGACTTCAATACATGGTATGTTGTTCTTTCTCTAATTCATATAAACTTACAAAAGTAAAGTATATCCCCTGCTTTACAAAACATGATACTAGCCTTCCAAATAATCATATACCAATCTTATCTGTTGAGACACAAACAATGAGTGCTATCTTGTTTGATCCACAAATCCCCCAAGCACTAGAACTCAAAAGTTGGTGAGTTTACAAAGTCAATACTTATTTATTTGTTAGACACACACATTATTACCAAAATCTAACACCATCCTATACAATCTAATAGGACCAAAGCAAACAGACCTTATATTGAACAAGTTTTGGCACAAAAACTTTATGATGCAGCTCATCAAATAGTGCAACCTACTCCTGAAGAGCATATGCACGGCATCAGCTATGCACTGAATACTCCTTACCTGGTACAACTACTACATATATCAGTACAAGATACAACATATTCAATAACAAATGCTATCACAACAAAATCTAATATTTTATCACTTGAAATCTTATAGGCAAAGCCATTCTAGATCAAGGCCAAAGCAGAGATGGTTCAGCCTCAACATCGACTCTACATCCTCACTAGTCCAGCTTCCAATTGCAAAAAACAAACTGGAGCTCAAGCAAATTTCAACTTCTTATGCCGTCATTGCAACATGACATTTGCAAAACCACTACCACGGTAAACTCAGAAACATATTCACACACTAATTCATAATATTCTTCTGATCATAACAGAACAAAATCATAACACTTAATGCAAGCTCAGGTTCTTAGTCCAACTATCTAATACAATTGGAACAATTACTGCACAAATTGAAGATCAGCATGCTCAATACAACCTCAACATCTCGGCTGAAAACATACTCTACATGGCACTGAAGGTAATTTTCAACATTAACAATAACAATATTACCTTTTATAGAATACACATTTATTCACAATACTCATATATAAAACCAAACACATACTCATTCATAAACCAATGTCCATAGAACCAACTTCCAGACATTGCAGACATCAATATGAAGCTCCATATGAGCACATTTCGTTTTCAAGTCAGGAAATTCACCCATCCTCTACACAACACAGTTGTAGCAAAATACAACATTCTCGCTTGCCTGCCAATTGAAGATCCTACACAGACACCTACATCAACCACCAATGAAGCCTCATCATCGAAACTACCTGATCAGGAAATAGTAACTACAGATTCAACCAAAGACACAACCAATCCAACCACCGCACAAGCTCCAACAACTAAAAAAAAGATTCAACAAGAACAATCACTGACCAGCCAAAGCACCAAAAAGCCAACTAAAACCACACATCCTCCCTATGTTTTGCATTAGCTATTGATATCAGTTTGGTACCATAAAGTCACCTACTTTTGCTAATGACCAATTTCTGCTAATATACATACCAGCTTTTGCTACTTTTGTCTACAGTTCTTTATATGAACTTTCTATGCTATAGTGAACAGCTTCTGCTAATGTACAAACTGCTAGAATGCAATGTATGTACATATATCATAAACTACCGCCTTCTCATCACCAAATTGACACACATCTACTATTAACTTCACAAACAAAACTAACAACAAAACCAAAAACTGGGCACCCTCATGCGTAGCATGAGGCACAAATAAACTAGTTATGCATTTATATGAGAGTTGAAAGTTTATCAGGATCATATGATCTACAATTTGAATCTTTTGTGTCTGCAAATCACCTTCTATAAGTAGACTTTTATATACATTTCATCCAAACAATATTGCACATTTTACAATAGTAACTAAGTTGGAAATGAGATTTTTTCTGGAACAAAATAAAAGAAAGACAATAAATCTTAGGAAAGACTATTTAAGTTTTTAGCACTAATTTCTTTATTTTAAAAAGTATCTATGCATACTGAATTTGCAAGTATATTCAAGGTCTAAAGCTCCAATCTTAAAATACACTCTTCAAGTAACACCAAAACTATGAACAGAGACTCCTCTTTACAAGTTTTTTTAGATGCCTAGACTTATTTAATGTAATTAAACAGTAGCTTCCAATTGCTTTTAATTAAAAAAGAAAAAGAAGAAGAAGAGGACAAAAATAGTGAATGTGGAAAAGATGTTATTAGATGTCTCGATTTTAGAAAGTAAATGGCTCCAGGTCGCTTGTTGTTAGTTGGTAAATTAATTCGAAAAAGGAAAAAAAAAAGTGAAATGGCAAAAATGACTAAATGAGGTAGGTAAGTGTTTAGGTTTCGAATCTTACATACACTTGCTTGATTTGGAACTTGTCAATTTATTTGAATTGCTAACGTTATACTTGAGTTCGTTCAACACAAATGCAAATTCAAATTTTAAGCGTGCAACCTCATAAGTAGTTCGAAGGAGTTTGATTTGTTTATAGCCTACTAGTAATTAGTGTCCTTAAATTCAAAAACTCGTTTGATGCGAAAATTGTATAAACAACAAACCACTTCAATAAAGTCAAGTTTCTCAGATATAATGCTGTCAAGAAGATATTAATGCGTGCTCGGACTAAATTTAACAAAATGACAAATCACGTGTTCGATGGGACTAAAATTGAGATTTTAATGCAAAACGTGTAAAACGTTCCCTTGTGATGTGGAACATTTGAAGTTTCTTTGGTGGAGGGATGGGTGAGTATCCATGTAAAGAATTAATCATTTACACATTTCTTGCTTGTAGTGCTTTTACCTTTGTTAATAGAAATACCTTTCAATCCAAATTCTCCACCAAATGAAAAACTTTATATTAGGTGTTTGGATAATTACGATTTATACCCAAGTATGAGATATAATCAACAAGGGTACAAAGTCACTATACGGAGGACGTAAAAACTATTCCTCACCGAAGAATTTTCTGTATTAAGAGATGAGGGTGTTTGGATACCCTATTATTTGAAAAAAAAATATATTGTTTTCCGAAATTAGGAGAACTCAATATGCAAGACGTAGCTAGAACATGCGCCTTATATTGCTACGAGCTAAAGCCATTAAATCTTTCAACTAAACATGATTTAACTAGGGCTTAGGAGAAAACGCATTCTTATTTGTTGATTAAGACTTTGCTTTAGCTAGAATAGCTGCACACCATAGGTAAATTGCATTTCCCCAAAATTAACTAGTTTATGTGGAATCTTGATGGAAAACGTACAGGTGCTTTTTCTAAATTATTCTTCGTTTTGTGTCGGCTGATCCATTTTTTGTGAGAACAACGGCTATTCTACAATTAGCCCATTACTGTAGCAACTTTTCTCAAATTCTCATTGAAGGTGATGATGTTAATGTGATACAATCCCTTAAAACTGAGGATCCGATACAGAAAAATGGAGAAGGACCCTTAACTAGTTAATGTGATACAATCCATTAAAGATTACTTTTGCTATAGCAGCTCCCAACTAGCAAACTAGCAAAGTAGGCTCATTGCTCATATTCTTGGTCTTTCTTGTCCAGTAGATCTATGCTTTCAACCCTTTATTCCTTTTTTTTTTTGGTCATTAAGCAATATAAGAGTCTTAGGAATCACTCTTGTAGCACCCTATTTAAGTTAATCATAGAAGCATTAGTTTGAATCAGTATGTTTAATTGAAAATCTAACTAGACAGCAAGGTGGAATCACTAAGCCTAGAATGAAAAAGATAAATGCAGTTTTAGGAGATTTGACTTCTTTTGCTTGCACACAAGATTTCCGAGGAATCCAGTGATTTGCTAGATTTGCTAGGCAGGAATCTCCCTTTTCTAGGTGGCCGGTGTGTCAAGAAAATTTCACAAGACTAGCATAAATAATTTCTAATTGAATTATGATATAAATTTCCAATATTGTAGGGTTTTTTTTTTTTTAGCTTTTCACCATTGTAAATTACCTAGGAAACTAGCTCATAAAAAAGGTGAAATACAAAAAAAAGAAAATAATAGAATCCCGGTGTGCAATGTCAATTGCAAATAATTTTCGAGTATTCCGTTTAAACTGCAAATGATTTTACCTTTAGCATAATAATAGTTGGATTTGAATAAAATTTTGTTCATCAGGGTTGCACATGGTTTAGATATGGGTTAATTCCATTTTGCACCCTTTAACTTTGGCCTCATTCCCACTTACGTCCTTAAACTTCAATATGGGACATTTAATTCCTTAAAGTACAAAATTCATCTCATTTAAATACAATTCTTAACGGAATGTAAAAAATTAACAGAATAAGTGGCATATCCCGTTAACTAATTATTATAACCAAAATAATTCAAATTTACAAGGGGCATAAATGTAAATTCAGGAGGCCAAAAAAAAAAAAAAAACCCTCTCAATCATTGTTCCCGGAGCTCCGCCGCACCAAGTCCTTCTTCGCCTCCAAAACACGATGGCCTAGGCTTGAATTTCTCTAGCACTTTCAAGCATCGATGCAAGTCTTGCGATGTTCACGTCCGCAACACCCTCTGGCCCCTTTTCACTCTCGACGATGAGTCTAAAGTCACCATCTCTGCCAAACCCTCTACCTCTTCGTCTTCTTTAAATCCTCAACATTGCATCATCACCAAAGATACCCATGATGATTTTGTGAATAAACCTGTTTTTGAGTCCAAAGAAGAAAAAGAAGAGAAGCCTCAAAACGAAGAAAATGTATGCAATTACAATAGCAGCAACAACAACAATACAACAAAAACGAGTCTGATGAAATCACCCTTGTAGCACACCAATTTGGAGATTGTGGAACAAGAAGAGGCGGTTGATTTAGTCCCACAACATCGATGAAAGATTATATAGATCTCGATTCTCAACCAAATAAGCCTTTTGAAGAAGGCAAAGTGAGAGAAATTGCCTGCAATTTCTCGTCTACTGTCTCAGTGTTCAATAACAAATGGCACAGTTGGAGGCGTAAGCAGAAGATGAAGAAGCCAAGAAATGGTGAGTTTATGGCTATATTACCTGTGATGAAGCCAATTACTAGGCAGCACAGAGAGACTTAGTCCCAAATTGTGGCTTTTGGGTTTGAACAGCGTTTTTGTAATACTGAGCATTGGTTCTCTCTTGATGCCGAGGGGATTAGCTTTGATGATTCCAAGTACTTGTTCAAAGAAACACGGGCTTCTCTCTTGAGGGTTGCATTGAAGTTTTTTTTTTTTCAGTGTTGAAGAAAGGTGCATACTTTTTTTTTAACAGAAGAAAGCAGTGAAAGTTTTATAATCGAAGGAAAAACAAAATCGTAACACCAGTAGTGAAATATGAACAAGTGTTACCACACTCTACTCAAGGAAGAAACTCTAGTCAAGAGTTATGACAAAGTTATTTACAACACATTGTATTTGTGGAGATAAAAAGCTTTGAGCACAAAGTTGCACAAACATTCACTTCAACTCTTGTGGGCCTTTCTTCAGCTTTCTTTTCAGACTTCTCACGTTCAGCTTTCTCCTTCTCCTTCTCCGTCTTCAGCTTCTGCTTCTCCAACCTCTCCCTCTCCCATTTCTGAATGTAGACGTTCTCCTTAGCACGCTCTTCTTCGCTGAGGACACTACCTTTGTCATCAGCGAAGCAGCGAAAGGCAGAGATTGAAGACGCTCGGGGAGTCCCCTCCAATAAACGACCCAGCCCACTACGTAAAACGACAGATCGCATCGCCATGGATAATGGATATCTTCTAGCTTTCTCCTGCTTTTACTGATGTACCACACTACTTGAGTGGAGAGTTGACTGACTCCAAGAAAGGTGCATACTTATTCTAGTATAAGATCTACTATCGGCAATGTTGGTCTATCTGGATTTGAAGGCAGAAAAGAAAATAAAAAACATAAAAAACTTTTGCTTAATTTGAGAACTTGTGAAGGTGATATTTTTTGGGATCTTCAAATTTACAGTTATGTCCCTCATAAATTTCATTTTTTTAAGTTGCGAAACAAGTTAACAGAATGTGCCACTTATTCTGTTAATTTTCTACATTCCGTCAAGGATTATATTTAAATGAGATGAATTTTGTAGTTTAAAGAGTTAAGTGTCCCATTTTGAAGTTTAAGGACGTAAGTGGGAATGAGGCCAAAGTTGAAGGGTACAAAGTGGAATTAACCCTTTAGATATTTAAGCCTTCTACTATTCTTTCTTTTTGCTCCTCCATTTTAATTTCTAATGTTTTATATCCCAATACAATTGGTTTATTTATGCACTCGGCACAGCCCAAAATTACCCAAAAAAAAAAGGACCAAAAAAGCAAAAGAGCATAACCAGTATATTACATTCAATCTCCAAAAAAGCAATAAATTTTTATGTTAATGGAAATTAAACTAAAGTATTCTATTTGTTTGTTTCCTAATTCTTTTAGTTTCTATTTTGGTGCCCTATTTGTTTAGTTTCCATATTAGTTTAGAAAATTTCAAGTCAATTTTGATTTGCAATTGTATTTGCTTTTGAGGTTTTGCAGTTTATAAATAGTACTAGTGTAATAGATTATTATTTGAAGAGTTGAATTGAGTATTGAAGAGTGAGTTTAGGGGAAAGATTCTAAGTTGAGAATTATGAATTGTTATAAGTAAAAGGACACAACATGGCATTGTTATTGTTGAGTTTTGACTTAATAAATTATTGAGTATTTATTTATATGTTTATTCTCTTTCGCTTCTCACATTTTTTAATGTGTCAAAACATCTTCCACTTTGCGTATTTTTTTCTGTCTACATATCTAAAAAAGATAAGAAATTTGAAAAAGTGAAACCGCTTGGTAAAATAAACTTAAATGTTGATTGTATACTATTTGCATACAAGAGAGAGATGGTGGAAAAGCATTTTAGCAATGTGGTGACTTGTTCGAGGCCATCGGGATTGTACATGACTCCAACATCAGGAGATCTTTTATATTATAAATTATAACTATTATACTATTACACCAATACAAGTTAATTCAATTAATAAGAACGATTATTATCTCACAAAAAATTGTTTTTGAATTTCACTGTCATAGTGAGAGTTATATTAGTAGATGTAATTAAGAACCCTTATAGATCTATGATCTCCAGAATATGTCTTGAATTTAGTGGTCATCGGAATTTAACTTATCCAAATTCTTTCCTACCAAAAAAAAAAAAAAAAAGCTTTTAGACCATTGGGATTGTAAAAGTTTGTATGAGGAAGCTTTTTTTTTTTTTTCCACAGTGGGTATTCGGGATTCGATGAAATAATATTCCGAACCCGACTAATCCCACTGCGCTTATTGCCCCTGTTCCCAAGAGACACAAAACGTTAATAGGGATCGAACCGTGATCACCCGATGCCAGGACCTGGAGAGACACCCCAAAACCAGCGAGCGAACCCCAGGGGGTCTTGTATGAGGAAGCTAACAGAGTCAATTTCTGCAACTTTTGTTCCTATGCCAGCACAATTTGATCACAGACATCGGTTGCCTTGAAAGTAGTGAAAGTTTACTACTCAAACAGCAACAGCTGATGAAGCATTACAAGTTGAGCATGCTTCAGTGTCTGGGCATAATTCTGGGGTGCTCAAAGGTGTTAATATCCAGACGTGCATTTGCAAACTTGTCTAGTCGGTAAGTATTACATCATACCTTTTCCAGACGTGCACCTCCTTAATTTTTTTAAAATTTGTAGAATAGCCTATGAAAAGTTTAGTTTTTCCATTGTTGCCTTACTTTTGGACCACTTAAAATTTGATAATATTCCCTCTAACTCTACAATTGCTTCCCAAAAGTTTTAAAATTTTTTACAGTTATCACCATCATTTCTACAATGCAACATTAAAATAAAATATAGTATATGATGCTATTTTTATTTTCTTTTTAACAAAGTTTATTCGCTTAACATAACACTTTTCTTATATGTCAAACCATATGAATTACAAGCAATCCAAACATTTATTTGATAGCTTGACTATGTATAACTTTATCTGCCTATTGTGTATATGAAAATATACATCTAGTACTCAATAAATAATTCAATTATTATGCACTTTTATACAATTTTTATGCATAGTTTTAATTATTGTGTAATTTTATACCATTAAATGACCTGATAATGATTGCAAATAAAAACAAGTTGTAGACAATTCTTTTCTAAATTATTTTAGTTTTGAATAAAGTGGTGGTAGTGCATTGTAGACATTTAGTTATCTAAAAAATCTATTGTAAACTTATACTAATATTATTACAGGAGATTAGGGTATCATACCTACAAATTAAATTCACGGTTAGGTGGTGAAATAAGTGCTTTGGATTAACTTAAATTATTTAGACTTCGAACCACTATTATCACTAAGAAATAGTAAAAATTAAGGGAAGGGTTATCTAAAAGGACCATAGAATTTTCCAATTACTACATCCCCTAAACAAAGATCTTGATTTTGCCACTGGAGATAGGCATATCCCTAGTCTGAGGAGGTGAAGTGGTAGTGTTCTCACTGTTCCAAGTCATCTATCAGAAGATCAAAACGAGCGCTGAAATTGCCTGAAGAAGAATTATTCAAGTTTGATAGCTGGGACATGGAGAAGAATTCCAAGAATCTTAATGTTTCCTTTTCTTAAATGTTGGGTCTGTTGAGCCACACATGGCAAATAATGTCTTAGGTATTTACGGCTCTCTTTATATGTTGGGGTTGGTGTACTCCTTCGTGAAAATTTTTTCTGGTGGATCAGTATAATGCTGGTTTTTTTTTTGGATAAGTTAAAATTTATTCTCAAGCCGTAAAATGTACGTTACAATCAATACAATAAAGTTGATCCACAAGGTGGGATCAATGAAATAAACAATGAGACATGATCCAGCTAAAATTACAATCGGACAGCAGTTAAGGCCGAAATATGGATTGAGACAAATTCCATTCGCACTGCAGTAACATATTGGATTGAGACTTAATGACCCCTGTCAAGCACATCAGCCTACTTCTCACTAAGGAGCATACTTGTTTTTGTAGACTTATAGTGTCAACGTAAGAGTTTGTGAATATCCTTTGATTTCTATCATTCCAAACACAATAAACTGCAGCAACTAGCACCGGTTTAAGCACCAAATTCTGATAACTTTTAGCTTTCGTTGTCATGGTAGCCCAACTAATAGTCTCCTACCAACTACCTTCAAACCACATGATGTTGCATTTCTGCAGTAAATACTACCATAATCTGTAAGTGAATGGACAAGAGAAAAATAAATGATCATGACTTTCAACATTAGCCTGACAAAACACACATGAAACTGATGCAATGACACCATAATTTTGATAGTGCTTTTTTGGTGCTATTAGAGTAGACTTTCTGTTCTTAATTATGGTGAATATCATGCAAAAGTTCAGAGTAGACTTTCCACTCTTAACCTAGGGGTAGTTTTAGAAACCTCCCTTGAGGTTTCTAACAATTTCACTCAACTCTCCCCAATTTTAGAAAATTACACTGACCTCCCTTGCTTTTACTACTTAAGTAACATTATAGATCCATTAGGCTAGAATTATACTTAAGTATCCTAAAATACCCTTATGCAATATCATAACATCAAAAGAAAGTGAAAGAAAGGTTTATCAATCAATTTAACCAAAAAAAAAGTAACAAACACTTTTATCCAAATTTGGTATGCTTCCACGATAATTGTAAACCCAAAACCTCATCAACCGTTCAAGGAAACTCCAATTTAATTCCCAAATTCTATCAATTTTGGTATCACTAAAATCCCAAATTTTAACAAAATTGCACTCCAATTTAATCCTCAAATTCTATCAATTTTGGCATCACTAAAATCCCAAATTTTAACAAAATTGCACTCCAATTTAATCCTCAAATTCTATCAATTTTGGCATCATCAAAATCCCAAACTCTACCCGAATCACTTTACAAATAGACCATAACCACCACCACCAACTAAAATACCCTCAAAAGCTTCCCGGCCCAAATTAACACTATATTTTGTCTATTGGCTAATCTCACACCTCAAATTATGAACCCAACACCTATCACATATCACCTTCCTTGAACAGAAGACCAGGCCAACCACTATTGATGTCTATGCCAAGAGCAATCCCATACTCCAACGGCGTTAGGAACAGAGAAACTAATCTTTATGACAAATCACCACCAATACTTGTAAATCAAACAAAAATGAAACTAAATGAAAATATTAGATTCTTGTGTGTAATAGATATAATAGCATAACCTAGAGTCATCCCTTTTTCTCTTCTAACCATAGCCCATTAATTTCATTTTTTTCCCTCTCTATCACAACCATCTTCATCATCTCTGTCTAACTTGATTATGAAATTTTCATTTGCTCCCTCAATTTGTAATTTTGGAAATTTTGATTCTTTAATACATGTAAATTATAATACGAGAAGAAATAAATAACGGGGCAGATAGTTAAGTATCACAGAAAGAGAGAAATAGACAAGAAATAAACACTTTGGGTAGGTTTACATGGTGATGTAGTTGATGGGTGGAAGAAACTGTGGGGTTATAGGTAGAAAGAAGAGAATAATAAGAGGTAGAAAAAAAAAAGAGAGGGAAAGAGAAAGAAATTGCTGTTAATTAAAGTAGGGTTGGGGATGATGACAAGCTGTTGCAGGTATTTATATTTTCTTTAATTTTGGTTTGGTATTTATATCCCACATATGTGATAAATTATCTATTAAGTAGAGGGTATTGTAATCAGTTTATTGAACCGAGGGAGGTTAGTATAATTTTCTAAAATTGGGAGAAGCTAAGTGAAATTGTTAGAAACTTCAAGGGAGGTTTCTGAAATTATCCCCTTAATCTATTCAAAATTATGAAGCACCGTGAACTTTTGCATGATATTCACTATAATTAAGAGCAGAAAGTCTTTCACGGTGCTATTATGGTGAATATCACGGTGCTATTAGAGTAGACTTTCTACTCTGATCTACTCTTAATTTTATCACTGTGCTATTAATGTGAATATAAGAGCAGATATTCACCATAATTATGGTGAATATCATGCAAAAGTTTAAATTTGGTGCTATTAGAGTAATTTTTATGATTTAAAAATAAAATATTAAATTTAATCATTTTATTCTATATTATAAACTAAATAAAAAGATAAATACATTTAACAATTTTAAGTTACATATTATCCAATACAATAATCAATTATTGAATTATGTCTTCAAACAGTATATTTAAAAGCACTTAATAAATATTTTTATTAAGAGGCCTATTGTAAAATTATTTTTCAATAAACTACCACAATCACAAACCAGCCCTTAACATGTTTGGTTAAAGCGGACCATACCTCAAACATAATTTATTTGTTTCAGGGGTAATTTTGTCCCATCACTCCACCCAAGATACCGGCAACTCCTCTTTTTTTGATTGACATTTATTTGTTTCAGGGTAGGGCTGCAAACGAATCGAGCCGCTCGCGAGCGGCTCGAGTCAAGCTCGAGTCGAGCTCGAGATTAATCGAGCTCGAGTCGAGCTCAGAATATTAAGCTCGTTAGTTCGCGAGCCGGCTCGCGAGTTTGAGTATATATATTTATATATATTTTTTATTTTTATTTAATAATAAAATTACGTATATTATATATAAATATATTTTAATTTTTTATTTTCATAGTGAAATTACGTATATATCCTTAATATTTTATTATTTATTCAGAAAAAATTATTATTTTTTTTATTTTTTTAAAAATAAAATAATTTTTTTTTATTTTTTTCGAGCTCGAGCTCGAAAATTGCTAGCTCGTCGAGTTCGAGCTCGAGCTCGAACTTGGTAAAACTTAGTCGAGACTCGGCTCGATTAGCTCAAAACTCGACTCGGCTCGGCTCGTTTGTAGCCCTATTTCAGGGTAATCTTTTGAAGAGGCATGCGGGGTAGATGGTCCCAAAAAGGCGTTATTTGAACCAGATTCGCATTTTAATATTTTAGAGAGATTTTTTCTGCTGCGACTGTCGGTTAAAGCGACCATAGGACCCCTATAGCAAATTAGTAGTTTGGCAGGCCCCACATATTTTTTTGGTCCAAAACAGGAGCCACTATATATAATACAGCACACAAATTTATTGCTGGGTTGGGGCGGGGGGGGGGGGGGGGGGGGCGGGGCTCTGGGGTAGCTCATCAGGAAATTGAATATAGCTTTTAATGAACCAAATTATTCGCGACCGCATTTGTAGTTGGCTCGCTCGAGTTCGAATAAAAACTTGATCATTTGATAATCGAATCGAATTCGAGTGCAATATTAGGTTTGTTTAATAACTGAGCCAAACACACGCATGTTCGCAAATTATTCATATAGTTCGTGAATACTATAAAATAAATAAATATAAACATAAATACATACTATATTATTAAATACATACTATATTTTACTAAAAAAGTAATTATACATAAATTAGTTATTATTTGCTTTTTTAAGACAAAGAAATACAATTAAACTTATTTTAAGTAATGTATCATTTATTAAAAATATAATTAAATAATCTCCAAAATCAAATTTGAAGTCGAGCTCGAATTGATCTTATTTAGAATAATGAGTTGGGTCCAAGTTTGAACTCGAATATTTATAAACAAGAATTCGACTCATTTGTTAATATCCGGATAGCTATGTTATGCTTTAGACCAAGATGCGAAAACCATCTACTTTAATAAATGAGTTCTAAATGTCTATTATTAATTAGCTAGTTGTCTAAAAAATGTGAAATATGTTAAGCTTTTCCAGAACAATAGTATGTTCGATTTAGGATGGAAAAAGAAATCAAGAAATGCATGAATTGTTATTTTTTTCCCTATGCCAAGACAATTTGATCATAGACATTGGTTGCCATTTTTTGGGGTAAATTACTTATAACTCCCAAGTGATTTTACATAACGCCAGATGACTCTCTAAAATTTCAAATTAGCCACATAATCTCTGTATAGTTTTATATAAAGTGAAAAATAGATAGAATACACAATCAGTTACAGTGTTTATGTCAAATACGCTCTCAAAGTATATGTGAGAAAATATTAATATCCATGTAACTCTTTATAGTTTATATAAATATTCACTTTATCCCTTATAAGTTATAAATATCCTCTTATACTTTTGTACAAGATGACTAAGTCGTCGATTGATTTAGTATTTAAGTAAGGGTACTATTGGTATTTCAATTAAGGATGTTACATAGGCTATTTTTCATCAAATTCCACTTTACATAAAATGATGAGGGGTCATTTTGTAGTGTTAAGGGGGTCATATAGCAATAGGCGAAACCACAAGGGGGTCATATGTAATTTACCCTTTTTTGCTTTTTTCTCTTGTCGGTGTATTTTTATTTTTGCAATATGAAGGCAAAAACGAGCTTCAAGCCTGTGTTTTCAAACTCGGACCGGACCGGCCGGTCCGACCGGTCCGATCGGGAACCGGTGATGTGTCCGGTTCGAGTTGATCAGCAAAACCGAGAAATTCAAAACCCGGTCAATTCCGGTCAAAACTCGGGTTTGACCGGGTTTGACCGGTACAGAACCGGAAAAACCGGTCCAACAGGAGCTTTTGCAAAAAAAGTTCAAACTTTTTTAATATTATATTTTGACCCCCTAAATTGTGAAAATTTATTAATATACCTCAAATATTTCATACTTTATAAATATTGTCCTAAAATTTGATGTTATGTTTCAATTAAATCCATAATTTTAATTCTAATCTTGTTAATGTTTATTAAATAATATAAATTGTTACTTGATTGTTCTAATTTCTTTGTATTTTCTTGTTAAATATATTTGAAACATCAAATATATATGAATATACCTTTATTAATATCAATATGTTATTGGATATTTTATATACAATAATTTAATTTTTAAATAATTTTTATTTATGACGTCATCCGGTTCGACCCCTATCGACCCCTATCGACCCCCGGTCGAACCCATTGACCCCTGACCCTGACCTCGGCCGAGTCGATATCCGGTCCGGTTCTGAAAACATAGCTTCAAGCCTGATATAGAAAGGGGCATGTCCCTGGCCTGACGAGGTGAAGGGGTGTGCTTTCATTGTTCCAAAGTCATGTATCAGAAGACCAAAACGCCAGAAGATCAAAATGCCAGCTGAGATTGCACCGAGAAGAATTATTCAAGATCCCAGATATGTAGCTGGGAAATGGAGAAGAATTCCAAGAAGCCTTAATGTTTCTTTTTATTAAATATTGAGTCTGTCGAGCTATAGTTGAGCAAATAGTAGTGTTTTAGGTATTTACAGCTCTCTTTATATTTTGGGGTTGGTGTACTCTCTTTGTGAAAACTTTTTCCGCTGTATCAGTATAATGCTGGTTTAAATTAAAGGGTTAAGGTAAAAAAAGATAGAGTATCACAATAAACAACAAAAAACGACCACAATCATATAGATATTTTTGCAGTACTTTCACAACAAAGACTGATTGACAAGGACACAAGGTCCGTTTAGCATAGACTGCTTTTTATTGGCATGAGACTATCATTCATGATAATTTGCTTCCCATAAAGGGAATGCTAGATCCCATGTCATCGACCAGAAAACCAAAAAAAAAAAAAAGAAATGCAGAAGCACAATACATATTATACAACACATGCAGACGACAAACCATTCAGTACTTGAAGGGTTTCTTGACACAATACTTACCAATTCACTCGCAGTCACCCTCACAAATGCCGTAATTGAAACGTATATAAGCACAATGACAACCAGGGTCGCACTCGTTGTACGGTGAACAGGGTTCTCCATATGGAACTCCAATCTTGGAGCTCATTGCTTTTGCGGGCAATTTTATGAGCATCTCCTTTTCTTGGTGGTCGATTTCCCGTAGTTTCCTTGGTGGGGTGGCTGCCTCAGCTTCCAGTATCTTACCACCTGGTGCCATGACCACCACTGCAATAAAGACTCAAGTTATCTGATCAATGGTATTATTAATTGGTCATTTTCCAAAGAATTAAAATTTCTTGATGATACATATAAAATCCAAAATTAAAATAACTTGATATGCCGTTAATTCATCATAGTTTACAATAAATAATGGTAAATGATATTTGTACTCTTAAAACAAAAAAAAAAAAAAGCCCTTAGCACTCTACCTCACTTTTATACTGACTGAACTGACAAATGTGTCTCTAAAATATTACTAAGATTACAACATTACCCTCTCTACAATCTTTAGTTTCTTCGTCTTTTCGTCTTGCTATAGCCACAACCGTCAATCAACCTTGCCAATGCAAACCGATCCTAAAGTGAATATCCTGATAACCGAGACAAAACTCTAACTCACCGTTACCTACTTTGCTTCTCCCTTGTTTGAATTAGTCGAATTAGTTGATTTTACTATAGTTTTGGGGTGCGTATGAAGGCTCAGCTATCTGTGGCTCGTTGATGACAAAGTTTAGAACGGGAGATGTACACAATTGTGGCAGACACTATAGCAATTTAAGGAGCAGGCTATTGGGATAGAGGAAGAGAGAGTCTTGAAAGGGTAGCCTTGTAAGTGTTGGAGGCATATCTGTCAATTTAGTTCTGATAAAAGAAATTTGAAGTTGTTTAAAAAATTTTCTGAAGTGCTAACCTCATTTGCCCACATGAAAAAAAAAAAGAGTAGTGACCTAGCTTGTGTACTTACAAGTTGCAATGAGCACGAGAACACTTATGAAGGCAAGCTTGGCCATGTCTTTAGTCTCTCTAGTGAAATGCTTGCCCACATAAGGCAGTATTTATAGGGTGAGAGGGGACCTGCAATTGCACATTATCATATATATATTTTACATCTTCTGGTTGCCAGACTTCCAATGATGAATTTGCACCGTGGCTTGGAAAAATCAAGTTCTTGGTGCAATATTGGTTGTATTATTGTTATTATTATTAGTATTATTATTATTGTGTGGTACAAGGGTGAACTAGAATATGCAGTACAAATTTTTCTCCATCTCTTGCGTGGAGGTACCAAATTAAGTTGTTTACTTGACCAATTAAATACAAAAGCGTATTTTCTCTACAAAAATTGATTATTTATCATTAATATCCTCCCTCTCCTAAAAATATTATATATTTTTAACAACATTGAATTATTTGTTTCTAAACAACATTGAATTAATTATTTTTTTAACAACATTGAATTATTTATTTATTAAACTTTGCGACAGCGGTACTTGTGTATATGTTTGGGAATATTGACATTGATACCGAAGTTCTTATTATTTTTGTAGCTCAATATACAAAACATAGAATAGAAGACATTATTCAAAGGACACATTTTTCGAATAATGGACGCAATTATCATTGAAGAGCAGAAATCAAGGACACATCTTTCAAAGAAATAAATATGCAGATAATAGCTCAAATAATGGACCCAATTATCATTGGAAAGGAGAAATCAAGGACACATTTTTTGAAGAAATAAATGTGAATAAAAAAAAAAAAAAGAGGAGTTGCCACCCAACACTGTATAGTAGAGTAGCATATTTTTCACTATGTTTATTCATCAATAGACATATTGAGCCAAGGAATAAATATTTGAATTTGTGGCATCTACTGCACAATACTTGACATGGATACCCCCTTTAAGACAAAAATATATGTTGGGTCCTTTACTTTTGAGATAAAAATATATGTTTTTTTAACATATTATCTAACAATTTGGAGTATAATTTAAAGCTTGCCTTTTACCCATATTTGAAAAGCACAAAAGTTGGACTCAGCTCGAGAATTTAGTAACTTTAGCTGATTTAGAAACTTTGTCAAGTTTTTATTTAGTCAAAAAAAGGGGGAAAAAGGTATAGACTTATAAACCTAACCATTTGTATTGATTATCTTAGAATTCTCAAGTAGCAAGAATTAAAAAATAATTGTATTCATATCAGTGTTGTAACTCAGGAGTTTTCCCACACAAGAAAACATGCAAAATATCATATGTAGCGTACCATGTGAAACAACAGTACAAAATTAAAGTAGACACCTCCGTATCTTGCTTTGCTTTTTCTAAAGAAAGCATCTACTGCTATATTCTCTCTTTCAATTTTTTTTTTTTTTTGAATAAACGTGATAGAGACCCCTAATTTGCTGACATCTCCCTTGGACGAATTGAATTGAATTGCATTGGTACCAGATTAATCAGGACCACCACTGGTAACAAGCAGTTGGTTTGCAAAATTTAATGTGGTACATATATACATACATACAAAGTGGGTTTTTTTTTTTATATAGTTAAAAGAAAGAAAAAAATTTGATAACTTATTAGGGGAAAATGTCCTATATATTTATTTAATTAAATAATGTCTTCGCCCTTTGTACAAAGCAAATTTACTTTACTTGCTTCCAAAACTTTCAAGGAAGACGAACAATACCATCACCTAAAAGGGGGTGGTAATGAGGAGAATAAGTGAGAGGTTAGGTAATTGAAGATGAGATTGAGAACAAGAAAAAAAAAAAAAAAAGAGTTGATTATGAGGAGCATTGGATGGGAAAAGATTCTTGTAGAAAGAGAAAAATGTCGTCCTACATCAATGATTATACCTCCTTTATCTCGGGTGAGTGGAGTGATGCACATTGCCATTGGATAGCATAGCATAGAGCATAGCATAGCATACCGGTTAAAAATATCATCAGAGTCTCCAAAAAGTGAGAATTGTACAGTGGTCTGTCTTTAATTTAGTTGGTGAGTGGTCATTGTTAATTAACCTTTTTCGTTTAGACCCTGTAACTAATCTCTGCCGACAAGAATTTTTGTCCTTCCACTAAACAAGCAAATTACATGACACAACCCCAAAGTTGGTACCACCATCCTCTAAAAATCTATGCAATTCCCATTCCTTTTACTCATGACACAACCCCGCGTATTTACTCATGACTTTTCAATTTCTTATTATATGGTACTTATTATTAATCCCAAAATTTAAGTTTTAAAGTTCTTTATTTAAAAGTTGTCATGTTTTGAGTTTTTAGTTAACTTTTTCTATTCAGCCGACCTTTTATGCTACGCCTCCTAATATTGCCTTGGCCATCTAATTGGACCAAACTAATGAAGATATTAAGCATATGTATCGATGCAAAGTTGAATGATTAAGAACAAAAACTCAGAAAAACAAAAGAACAAAAACTTGAGGTATTTGTTTTATTGTTTAGCTAAATGCTTTCTATTAGTTCATGTGCCCTCATTAAAATTGTAATTTACATTTCATAACAGGGTTAAAATGCTCGTATTGTGTTCAGAAAGCATCTTCACAAGCCAACCTCTATATGCTCCAATTTATTGAGAATTTTCGTTAGGCAAGGTGCTTCATTAGTGACTGAACTTTCACACATGTCATATTTTGGTCACTAAACTTTTCTTTTTTTTTTGGTCTCAAACTAATCACTCAAAATTCCTAGTTTCTTCTCTCTCCCCATTTAACATGTGTTGGTAAAAGTGGACCACGTGCAAAATTTCAAAAGTGATCCTCACCGTTTTCTTTTTTTTTTTTTGTCAATTTGCAATTTTTACATTACTTCTATTCTTACACGGACCTATATAAGAGAGGATCCAATTGAATTAAGGAAAACCGATGGAGAATGAACTACCATTTTCGAACCAAATGGGTGCACTTGCTGCTCCTACTCCTCGCCTGTTTCTCGATCTTCTTTATACACTCTCTTTCAATCTTGTCCAGTGTCTCTCAAGATATTTAAGATAGCAGATATGATATGCAAAAGAGCTCCTTCTATTCACAAAACATTGCATTTGGACAATTTTAGTTGTTTTCCCAATGCAAAATCAGATTATCAAAATAATCTGAATACAATTGCAAAGCCAAGAGATAACTCTTAAATCATTTTCAAGCACAGATTTTGGACCATCGTGTAGACCACTGTTGGCCTGCTCATTGATTTGGTTGCAGACAAAGTTAATTCTTTTGGAGAGATTGGACCAGATGATATAGAATACTTTTTTGGGCCCCAAAAATCTGTTATATTTGAACCAGATTCAATGTTGCAATATTTTAGGGAGATTTTTCGTGCTACAGAATATGGGTTAAAGCGACCATAGAGACCCCTAGACAGGCCCCGCTCCGATTGATTTAACTGTTTTTTGGAGTGTTTTTGAAATATTTTACTATAACATTATCTATTAAAAAATTTTACAGTAAATGTTTTTTATGATATTTTTGGAGGAATTTTTGGAATATATTTTGGGGTACGTTTTAAAATTAAAATATTTTTTAAAAATTAATATTACTACCCATAACCACCAACACCACCCCCTCCCTCATTCTTTCTTCTCTCCCTCCCTCTTCTTTCTCCTCTCTCTTCCTCTTCCTCCTTCCCTCCCCTTTCCCACCACCCTTGATCTTCCCCTCCCGCTCTCGATCAAGTCGCGGCTAGATCACGCTGGAGGGTGGCGGGGAAGAGGCGGGAAGGAGGAAAAGGGAGGGGGAAGAGAAAGAGGGAGGGAGGGGATGGTGGCAGTTGTAGGTAGAGTTGAGAGAGGGGGTGGTGACGGTGCTGATGGGTGATGGTGATTGGTAGAAAATGTTGTAGAATTTATTTTTTTAATTTTTATGTATATTTGTGAGTTGTTTTTGATGTATTTTATGTATGAAATATTTTTTTAGTTGTTTTTGTTTGTATATTTTTGTAACATTGTATTTGAAAAACTTATTTTTGAAAAATAAGCTAATCCAAACGGATTAAATACTTTTTGGTCCAAAACAGAGCCCACTATTTATACGTGTCAGACAAGGATAGGCCTCACTGACACGGGACTGTCTAGGTGAATTGATGAGCTTTCTTTTTTTTTTTTTTTTGTTGATACGATAGACCTACAATTATTTTATGCTACGGGGAGGGGAGGACCTGAAGAGATTAAGGGGAAAGCGGAGGGGATTGAACCACCTACGGCCTAGATGAGTTCACTATGCACTCATTTGGAAGCCACTTAAAGTAACTTGCCACATTTTGTGGCCAATGGTGGAAGACAAGATTTGATCCCCTGACCCTCACCCCCACCAACTTTGGCGGTGGCAGTTGAATTTAGGGGTGAGCATATTCGGTTCTTACCGAATTCATAACCGATTTCAAATTCAATTCGGTAATTTGAAATCGGGAATTTGGTAATTTGGTACAAATTCAGTACGTACCAAATTCACCGAATTCTAATATGGTATGAAATAGGTAATGAGATTATGAATTAGGTAATAACCGATTTCGCATTCCAATTCGGTAATTGAAATCGGGTACCGCATTACCGCATTCGAATTACCAAATTGGCATATAAAATTATATAATATATAGATAAATGCTATTTAGTATTAGTATATACTACTAATACTTTATTATATTATATAGGTAAATGCTATTAATAATAATTAGTATATGGTATTATCAATTTATCATCATATCATGTACTTATAATAATAATAATATATAATAATGTACAATATATTATTTTAGTATTTGTTAATTGTTATATGACTATAATAATACAAATATATAGTAATACATAACAATATAAGATAACTATAATACTTATTATTTTATACATGAGTAACATGACTAGAATTAGATAATAATTAACACATATGTCATATATGCATATTGCATAATACTAAATATTAAACAATAAACATAATTAGTAATTAAATTTAGATATTGGTAATTTGATACATCATTCATGTTTGAATTATTGAATATTTGAATGCGTAATCTCTAACTTGCAAGTATTAGTGCACTCTACATATTTAACTTAAAA